TCATCATTCACTTTACATTTAGGTGTCAATTAATTATCTTTGATCATAATTTAATCATTAATAAAACGTTTTTAGTTACACCCACATTGATACACTCTTAATAACTCACCTGTGATACACTCCTACATGCAAAAGACACATCTTAATTTAGAATTAAGGTGTAGACAGGTCACTGGCTATCTCCTGTTACTAAAGCAGGCAGGAGCAGCTTTACAAATCCAGGGAACAATTACGCAAAAAGTGACTGCACAATCAGGTCCACAAGTTTTTGGGAGAAATGTCTCAAACAGGACACAGACTCTCATTACTTCTGTTCTTTGTGGTTTTGTCCCTCATGTGTGAAGGGAAGCTTTCACCAAAGAGTCAGTTTGTACTGCAGACTAGAATTCCATCATTAACGTGCATCCAAACAACTCTATCCTATTTCTACTGTATTTAGCAATATTCTTAATACAACAGTATGCCCTGTATATGTTGCAAAACAGAGTATTAACAGGTAACACAACCACTGCAATATTCTAAAAGCAACTTACTTTATTGTTGGAACATACAGACCTAGTGAAGCTGTCCAAGAAATATGAGGGCACAGTATAGATTAAGTTAAACTTAATCTGTAGTGTGCCTTATATTCTACCAAGGGAAAACAAAAGGCAGGTTCCTAAAACCCTGCATAAACCTATCTACATAAAAGGTTTCCTGAAGACATGGCATTAAGGTCATCACATAAATGCTGCAAATCCATTGAGTTTCCAGGCAAACACAACATGCACAAGTGGGGTTTAAGGAAAGACAGATGGCCCAAACCACCTACCTTCCCTCACATCTCTCAATTCTACTGGAAAGCCTGGAAGAAGTGAAATAAATTAAGCAACCACAAGTACAAACATATTCTCTGTACATTAACTACATCTTTGTCATTTCTTGCTTATGAAAATTTGTAGGTTCCTGTACTGGGAGGTAATCAATCTTGAGAAACTACTCTTGATGGATTTTCTTTGGCTCACCCAAACTTTGTTTCTGATTCATGACAAGGAATAAAGATACTGTTGGTGACTCCAGAGGTCAAACTTACTCCCTCTGCACTGTGTCCTACTTTTCCAAGTAAAGAATGAGCTCTGAACTCAAACGATTTCTACCCTAGTACTCTCCTTATTCTAACATTATTTTAAAAAACTAGAAATACTTATCTCCTTTATTTTTTCCCAGAAATTCAATTCATTAGAGTCCAAACATGTCAAGACAGAATGACAGAATTTAATTACTACTTTCAAAATTACTTCCTGAATCTGTTGCAAAACTTTCAGAGAAGGTGGATAAACTGGATCATACTCTCAGTACATCATAAATAAAAGCAACTAGAAATTAACAAATGAGATTGCGTGTGTTGACAATTTGAGTTAATTAAATAGAGCAATTTGATCACACCAACTTGTCAAGATCAGGCTTAAGTATTAAGGCCAAGGTAAAACCAGCCTCTTCCAGAGGTAAGCATTGTAATCACAGATATATTAAAAAACACATGTGTATGTGAACTTTGCATAAACTAATTTTGACTGAGCCTCTGCATTGATGCAGAATGTTCCCTATGCATTTCATCTAGGTCCAGGAATATAAAAAAAGTTGGAATTCTTTTAATTTTAAGTTACTTGCATTTGCCATTATTACATTTAATCTCCTATCATGGTACTCGCTCAGCCTAACGAGACCAAATGTCCCTCAGCTACCTTTAGTTTTACACATGAATTTCTTCCAAATAAGAGCTAGACAGTAGTGCCTAAACATCAAAATTAATTTTCTCTAATGAGAGGCAGTGCAGCTGGCAGCAACTCAGACACTTCACTCTCAATACAGTACTTTGATATTTTTCCATCTATTTTTGATGATTTCCTAACAACCTTGTACCTTCAGCCCATTTAAAAGCTAGTTTTATTGAACACTGTGCTGGTTGTTACATGATATCAGCTATGATATTTTTTCTTTCTGAAACGTGAAATGCAAATTCAACTAATTTCTACAACTCTTATCCACCAGTGTGTGTTAGAAAACTAGATGTTTCAATAATTGAATTCAATTCACTATCACCTGCTTTAAACCTCACCTCCTTATTACTTTACATTGAGTAATAAGTACCTTGTTTTTCTGAATACTTTTGTTCCATAAAAATTATGTGTACCATCTGGACTGCTGCAGCTGCTGTACATCAAAACAAAATTGAAGATAAACTGCCTGTAATCCTTCATGTTTCTTTACATACAGTAGCACCTCACATTCCTTGTAGCCTCTGAAATAAACGTTTATACATTAAAATAAAATCTTGTGCAACAACTAAAGTGCCAAAGTGGTAACCCACTTAACAAAAAGAGACACAACACATTCTGCAAATACATTTATTTATTAATGGATAAGATCTCAAGCTTGTCTGAGATCATACATCTGGGATACAGCTTTCAAAAGTGTGTTTGTACAGCAGACATATACAGTAGTAACACTTTGTTAGCAAAACTACAAATGAACATCTGGATTTGGTTAGTCATCAAGATTCAGATTTACACATAAGTCCTAGGTATTTACATTCTGTGGGACCTCAGGACCTCCAGTCAGTAGGGACAAGGAAAGGTTTGTTTTACATGAAGTTCCCGTTTGTGGGGGTCACATCAAGTGAGTGGGACGTACCCAAGTTTTGATTCACAAGGTGATCCATGACTTGTAGCCCGGTCACTTGAATTTTTCTTGCTCCATAGGACAGATCTACCAGCAACCACCTGATCTGCTTCCTTTATTTGCCACATTAAAACTGTTCCTGCTTCCTCTGTATTTGCATTTTCTTGTATCACTACTGACCTCCTATGATTTGTCTTGTGGTACAGAACATGGAGATGTCTGCATTCGATTGGATACCACCATTTTTTACTCCACTTCAGCACTTTGGTAATCCAGAATTACTTTCTTACAATGCTGCCCTCACTCCATCATGTGTGAAGCAAAAGTGAGGCCCACCTCTGCAGAGCTCTGAATATGCTTCACAGAATATGCCATTATCCAGGCATCAGGCTGTTTTCCTAGTGAGCCACCCTCCAGCTCCACGTTACCAATCATTGTCAGTACCAGTAACAGCCAGGTCAGACTGCCCTGGAGCAAACAGGAAACAACCCTCCAGCCTCTGCCACTAGCAACCCTCAGCCTACCTGCCCTGAGGGATTTCAGAGGCTCCAAACACTTGCAGTCAGCAGCACGCCATGATCCACGGGAAGGTACATGCCAAGGCTAACTTGGCTCCAGCTCCCCCTGGCTATTCTGGAATCTCCCATCCATATAGGTGAAGGATTCTGCTTGGACAGCAGTGCCACAAGCTCCCATAACAATCTTATTTCCTCATCCATATCACAGAAGAGGGATGTACAGGCATATGCAAGAGTGTGGCTTGTATGAGCTTTGTGCAAAAGCCCGGAAAGTCGCACACAAGAAAAACAAGGTGGCATTTAAAGACAGATATTTTAAATGACATATAGTACTTGCAAAAAGCTGTTTCTGTAACATGGTTTTACCTTTATGTGGCTTTTTAATACTCACTGACCCATTTTCCTTCAGCTTATCACTGCTCTATTTAGCTTGTCCCATCTGCCTTCATCCGACTTTGACAGTCTGGCCCCTACTCATCCAGTCACCGCCTTCCAAGAAAGACAAACCAAGCCACCTCAAGAAGTACCAACAATGAAGGGAGAGAAAATTTCCAAAAAATTATGGTAAAGGCACCAAGCTTTGCATTTTACACATTACTATGCAAAAAGACTCCCTGTGAACTAGAATAGCCTGGATGTGATAATTGAGCTGACACTTGCCTTACGGCAGCAACTGAACCAGAGAGGACAGTCAAGTCACTGGGACTCACACAGGAACAAGGCTATGATCCTCTGCTACCAGTCAGCTGCAGGTGCATCACTGCACTCCTGGGCAGCCTGGGTCACTGAATCTGGGCATGGGATCAGCCAAACAACACAGTACAGGTCTTGTGCACAAGCAGGAAGGCACACCTGAGCCAGGGGTAGGACTGGCAGCACTCTGTCCCAGCTGACATCAATATGCTCTTGCAGCTTTCAGAGGCAATCTGCCAGCAGAGCTCATTATTGCCACTGCACTTACAACAACCACCCCTACTCAATGCTCCAACAGAACAAATAACCTGAAGGATCTGCCAGTAAATACAGGAGCAACCAACGAAAATGATAACTTCCTCATTTAGCTACTTACATCCCACATTTGAAACTTCCTGTCTTTGCTCTCTTGTGCAGTTAGCTTTCTGCATTTTTACTTCTGTTCAAATCAGTTTAGCTGCTTAGATGTCCACACACCAAATCGGGGAAGTGAGATGAGGTCCAGACAGCTCATCAATTTACTTACTGAGTAACACTAAAACCAAATAAGCTGACACACCAAGGGAGTCATAGGATGTGTATTACCAAAGAACAAGAATTCAGCTAAACTGCTAAAGCAAACATCAAAATGAGAGAGAATACTTTTATAGAATCAATCAACTCTCAGTAAGGGAAACTGATGTGTATGCAAGCAGGCAGGACACAGATATGACCATTTCTATTAGGTAGGAGTAACTTCCTACTTTTGACTACTAATGGGAAGACAGACACAAACAGCCAAGTTGGAATAACAGGAAACTGTAGGGAATAAATCTATATTCAAGATACTCTAATTTGTGCACAACACATATGCACTAACCTGAATGCAGAAGTCAAGATTTAGCCTATACTGAGAGGTGACCTACTTCAAATATCTCTTCTTGGGAATGGGAGATCAAGACTATGACCAAAAGCCATGCACACAGCAACACACAATTGTAATTTGAGTTCATTCGGTCATGAAGATGAGCCCTTAGGCATTCTGTTCCCATTTAAAACACAAGTTATATATACAGTTTGAATACAGCACTTCCACATTTAATTTAAGCAGAATAGTTTTTATCAGAAAGTTACACAAACCCAAAAAGCTGTGTTTTTCAAAACCATACTTTATTTTTAAAGGCTAAGAGTAGTATTCAGAACTGTATTTCTTAAGCAAAAAGATTCACATTTCATTGCGCAGGGTCATTAGTAGGAGAAAAAGCATTTGGGGATTTACTTTTTTGCAACTGCTGTTGAGTTCCTACATCAACCAGATTTGTTTAAAAATGGTAACATCAGTTATGGCTCAAGATACAGAATTACAAAAGAGTAACACAAACCTTGAAATTCAAACAGTGAACAGGTAACTATGGTCATTTTTTTCCACATAAAGATGTTTTAGCCAAGACAAACAGAAGCAAAAACTGTCTTTATTGGTAGCCAGATCCACTGAAAATCATCAGGACAGACACTGCTTCAAAGATACCCATGCTGACAAATGCATGTCCTAGAAAAATGCCCTGTCTGTTCCATTACTTCATCTTTTCCTCCATATCACAAGCCTCAAAACCATGGAAGTATGAAACCACAACAACAGATTGTTTTTTTTAAAACAAGAGGCTACAAGAAAAGACGGAAGACTACAGAATGTGGTGAAGAAAGAGTCATCACCGCTACAGAGACAGCAGGACTTTGACTGAGAAATTTTAATCAGTGAGCATGTAAGAACCCAAACAGATTCAGAACCCAGAGGTGCAATTTTGTTGGGTATTCTCCCCTTCACCGATCCGTAACTCTGCATGTACATGTTCTGGATGGCTTGCATTCAGAGGGACAGAGGTAGTGATGGGAACAAGATTCCTTCCCTAAAGTTTCCAAATAGATGCAACCTGGTAAGCATGGCCACAAGGAAGGGTGAGTGCAACCAGCCGAGGGCCTGCCAACGGGGAAAGGACAAGAGCACAAGCACAGACAGGAAGCTGCTTTCCCATAACCAGACTGATAAATAAAATGTTACATAAAGGTGCTGGACAAGAACTGAACAAGTAACAAAACATCTGTGGCCTCAGCAATATGTACTTCATGCTAGATTGCGCAAAGGGTAGAATTGTACCTTTGCTGCACAGTCGTGGTGATCAAAATTGTATAGTATTTGCAGTACTGCCGGAAGTTCCAGTGTGTAACTAGCTAGCCTGATTATACTGATAATACCTCTAAAAAGTTTATCACCCATTAAAAAAAAAAGTTGTATTTGCAGACAATTCCTTTATCCAGTTAATTCTTCAGACTTGTCCTACCTTTGCTATTTTTCTGTCCTAAGGGGATTAAGACAGACTTCAGTTGTTAAAAGTTCTTTCCCCTTTTCTCAGTGACAGCAATAAAAAATTAGCATGTTTTTATCTTATATTCCTGGAATACTACAATTTCTTATAAGTATGTTCATTCAGAGAAAACTGTCTGTAATACTTACAATGAAAGGTTGCAACTGTTGGATAAGAAGAGATGGTTGAAAATTAGGTCATCTGAATATAATTTGAGTTCTACAAACTAATAATTGAATAAAGTCAATACCTGGGGCTAGAGAGCAGTTCTCCTTAGAACACCCCATTTCTCTTCTTAAGAAGATCAGAGGTAAAATGGTTTATTTTATTGCAACACTGGTTAGCCAAATCCAATCCTTGCCATTCAGATATGATTTTTAAAAACCAGGGATTTTATGGTTTACTGCCAAATTTGGCAGACAATTTACTGATGAGATTCATGACCTTGGGATTGCTCTGGTACTTGGACATATTTGCTGGGTTCTGGGCAACATCTTGGAATGCAACCATAACTTCTGGATCCTGTAGAACAAAAAGAAAAAAAATTAGGGCATTTGTAAAACAACTCTATAAAAGTGATTATGTAGTTCCACATGAATCTAGTCTTGCTCAGCTTTTACATGACAAGACTACATTAAACTTCTAGCAAGAATTCCCTAAAGACAACCCAATAATATAGTGCATGCTGTTAAAGCTGTCACTAAACACCAGAGTCATTATTGAACTTGTTACACTAATAGTTCAGTGTATGAGAAAGGGGATCAGATAAGACTTCTGTTTTCCCAGAACAGGAGCTATAAAACACAGCCACACCTACTGTATTATTTCTGTTCAGCCATCTTTCAAATGCATTTTGAAGGAAGTAGGAGTTTGATGTGTCTAGCATGCATGGTAGGATAACTCTACTCTGAGCAACAGTTGATTCTCATCCTTTTCTCATTTTTTTACTCTAGAAGCAGAAGCTTGAAACTGTTGGGTTGCGAGCAATGTGGCAATGTTTGGCTTTTAAAATGCATCTCAGTAATTCCTCACCTCCACTGAGAATTCACGCTTGGAAAAGAACCTTGATCTCTCTTATCACACTATTGTGTTGCAGTTGATAAGTACATCTACATATTCAATGAAGTCAGTGCCCAAAAAAAAAAAACTCCATCTTCTCTATTTAGTATGAGAAGCATTAATACCTTTTTCCCTACTTCTAGTATACCTTTGGCCTCCACCAAACTTGAACTGGTTTTACTTGTTTTACCTGTGTATGTTTTGAACATAATGACTCTGTACATAACAATTTTACATCTCAGCCTGGAAAACTGTTTCCATTATAAGCAGTATCTACAAAAAATATCCTATTTCCTTTAATTCAACAGAAGTGTAAGCAGTTTATTATGTTCAATACAAATCACAGATGTTAGCTGTAATTTCATCTGCTGTTCTTTCTAGGACATTTAAGTATTTTCACCAAAAGACACACTGCTTCCTAGACTTCTAACCCATTGCTACAGTGGGCTTGTTCTTTGGAAACCATCACAACACAATCAGTGTGCTCAGAGCTGTCTGTGCTACAATAACACCATCCCATATCTATCCCAGCATCAGACTCAGTCCAAAGCTATTTAACAAGTCTGATCCTAAATTGCATTTGGTAGGTGTGGACTCTACTGAAAGCACCCACACACCTCAGTCATATTTTATACATGTTGGGAATGAAGAGCCCAGTCTTATGGGAGGATTTACAATGTGTTGTCTCCCTCACAAAGGATAAACTGCAAAGTATATGGAAAATAGAATGCTGAAGTTCAGAAAAGAGAGATTAAATACATTCTCTCCACTTTACAGGATTCCCATGCAAAGAAAAAAAGGCAGGCTTTCACAGTCTCAGACTTCTAGAATTGATTTCAAAATAGGGCATATGATTATAAAGACTGTCATGTTGTTAAGTCTGTGGTTTCACTTATATATGAATCTGGAACAAAAAGCAGAGGAATCTTAGTCGCTAGTTTATCTCAAAGCACTCCTAAATGAATGTTAAATATCCAGTTTTATGCTATGCATTTCACTTTCCTATAAATTCACAGCAAGTAAATGATTCTTTACTTCCATGACTCCCTGGAAGCGCTCAATCTTAGAGAGTGTTAATAACATCCAAAGTTTGACAGTGATGAGCAATATTATCAAAATAAAGTGTAAGACTGAGGATATCAGCATTTCTGTAAGGGAAATGTTCAGTGCATAAGGTGGAATGGTAGCCATTCTATTAATAGTACTAGGGAGACATTCAGTTTTCTAATGCTTCTGCTTTAGTTGCAGAAGGAAAAATAATACTTCCAAGAAAGAGTATTATTTTTTTTCCAACTTAACATGAAGTCTGTGTCAAACATGTGGCTACATGTCAAATAAGGAATCCATAGGGTTATCTTACACATAATTCCTTATAAAAAGAACTTTGACTTGACTCCAAAATGCAAATGTCATGTGTCTAAAGAAAGCACTTGTATATGCAAAATATGAAGTACTAGACAACCCTCCAGACAGACAAAACAGTAAAATAACACACACTAAAATAGTTAGGGTTGGAAGGAACCTCTGGAGATCATCTAGGCCAACACCCCTGCCCAGGCAGGGTCACCTAGACCAGGTAAGATTTATGCCAATGACAAGCAATAACTCCCCTAACCATGTCCACAGGCACCCATATCTAGTTCTTTGGTTGCATCTATGGATGACCAGACGAAGTTAACAGTAGAATCAGTTTAATCTGGCTTGTCTGCAGGCACCCACAGTTGTCAGGTTTACTGAGATGTCACAAGACTCAGGCACATTTCAGTGTTAACTCATGGAGAATAGTCTCCAAAATTATTAAATCACTTAACCTCCAATATTATTAAAGACTGAGGTAGTGGCCTTTACTCTTAAAATACTCCCATTTTGGCACTAACTCCTCACAGTGAAAAGCCTCTACAGACTAGCAGTTACAAAGCTATTTTGGAGTGACTTGTATGATTCAGTATGCTCAGACTTTTTTTCTAACCTCATAATAGCTGCAAGCTTACATTATCCATCAACATATTCCATAGCTGCACTAGGCAGATGCCAAGAAGTAGAAACTACTGTCTTTTAAAACTTACATGGCCAATTCAGAAAAGACCAGAAAGCAGAGTTGGACATTTTAGGAAAAGGTAGCAGTGTAGACATAGATCAAGTTCCAATAAATCATATCTAGATAGCTAAAGCCTGCCTGCATTATCAGAAGACACTTATCGACACACATTCTTGCTAGAGTCCTACCCTATGCTGAGGCATATGTAATCAGCATGCAATGGAGTTTTCTTAAAGGTATGTGACAAGCACTTAGTATTTAGCTGACCTCAACACTGTTTTCAGCAACCTCTCATCACAAACTCCAGTGTTACAGCAGGAAGTAGCCAAGTAAGGAAGACAGCTACAAGTCAAGGGCCCTTTCTGCATGGTTTGCATGCAAGCCAACACTGCTGACTGTGGCAGTCTAAGCAAAGGGGTGTTTTCCAACATCAGCAGCCATTAAGGGAACAAACCCATGAACTTTTGCATGGAAAGTGATGATTTTTTTGTGATTCCAGGGCATACTGAATAAGCTTCCTTTGTGATGCCTTTACTTCAATGAACTGAGGACAATATGTAAGTCTAATCATGGCAATCCAGAAAAAAGAAAGAAGACAGTTCTGTACTTGAGCATATTAGAATGCAAATGTAACTACATAGCTCTGACTTTTTCTAGCCCACCTGCTCTTAAAAATGGTGATGTCAGACATGTTCCCTTTAATCTGTTGAAATACTTCTCCTGAGCAGAAGTAGTTATGACATTGAGCAATTAATGAAGCCCAGCAGGGAAGTAAGCTTTCTGAATATGATTTCAGAAAATGCCAGATGAAGAGCCATTCTAATAATACTTTGTGTCTGGCAAAACCTCAAACATTTAATCTCCTAAGAGAAAGGCAATTCTCATCACAATATTATAATACATTGTGTAAGAAAAATATTACAAATTTTTTTGTTGGTGCATAATTATCCCTCTACGAAGTGTGTGCATTCAAAAAATGAGGAAGTGAGTTATAATGTGTGGAAAAGGACCATTTGAGAGACTTTCTCAAAAGAGATGACAACTGCGTATAGCACACAGTTTTACGTATCATAGATGGCGGACAGGGTTTGTGTGTCATCTTTAATTAAGCTTCCATTAGTTTGCAAAACAGCTAATATTTAATCCAGACAGTCTGGTGTCACACACATCAGTAAAAATTTTACAACAGAAATAAGCATTGCCATCCAAAAGGTCACATCTTCCTTCCTCCCCTGCGGCTCATAAGTGTTGTTCTTCTCTTGTTCAAAATGTGTAGCTTTGACTTTAACAAATACTCACCTGCATGGCTGCAAGAACTTCTGGATCACTGAGAATCTCATTGAGACCTGGCATACCTGCCATTCCTGGCATGCCTCCAGCCCCAGGAAAGCCACCTGAAAATCCAACACAAGAAAAATGTTCAACTCACTTATACTGTAATTATGCCCACTGAGACCAAGATTTACTGTCCTTGCCACATCTCTAAAGCCATGTCTTCCATATGGCTACAGCTGGCCCACTCAATGGAAAGCAGTGTCTTCACCTTCCCTTTCTGTTAAGACCTACATCTCATTTCATCCGAGTTTTTAACCCAATTGAATAGGAGCCTTGTAATAAGTACAGTTCTTTTCCTGGTTAACTAAAATGAGGTAGGTCTCAAGCTCAGGAGTTTGAATGCCTGGGGTGAACAATTTAGGGCAGAAGCAGCACAGTATTATGTCCCAGGCATGTTCCATATTTGGCAGGAACTTTAGGTTTTGAAAAATTGTGCCACCAATGGCAAAAAACTCCAACAAAACCCCCCCAAAAAAACATCCCTGATACAAAATGATTGAGGTTCTCTTATGGAATCCTTATTCTGCAGCTTCCCCAGCTGTGCTGAGCATGACACATATGTTCTCTATCTGGCTGCTGATCCAGCTGGAGCACACACACAGCCTATCTCAACTACATCTCAATGTTCAAGAATATCAGTACTTTTTTTTCTCTCCAGTTCATTGTATAACATGGAAAGCCTGACTTTTGTGAAGCTGTCAAGGATAACTTTTCTATAAGGCAATCTGCACTACCTCCTTTAAAAAAACTATTCTATTAACAACAGCTTCCAACCAACACAGATTTCCCTCATGTTCAATCCAAATTTTCAACTTTAAAACTGTTGTTCTTAAATAGATTCAAGGAACCCTGAGTAATTTAGAAAATATTTTTATACTAATTTTTAAACACATTATTGAGCAAATTCTGCTTCTTTTATTTTCCCAGACCTAAATCCTTTCATTCTGTCATCCTTCAATCATTGATTTCTGTCTTCTCTCTACTTGCTGCACAGCACCAATCCTCTCAAAGAGAAAGAATCCCAACCCTCTTACCACCAGTGCTCCAAAAGTTATTTGTATACAAGTTCTAAACTTCACGTAAGATTTTTCTCTCTGTCTTGAGAACAAATGCTATAAAAACTGCAACTAAAGTACTCCATAAGGAAACAACAGCCACCTCTACCTCAAGTATTTGTGCTTAAAAATAAAATACCTGGGAAGCCACCTGGGAAGCCACCAAACTGAGCTCCTCCTGCCTGCCGTCTTGCTTCTTCCTCCTGCAGATGAAAGCACATCATTCCACACAAAACAATGGAACTGCAGCCTGTTTTCTACTGCTCAGCTGGGTTTAGGAGGAAAAAAAACCAGCTGAGACTGTTTCAGGCAGATATGCTATCACAAGAAACAAAGCACTCTACTGTCTTCAAAACCACTGACAAGAAATTGCTGTGTCTGTTCTTAATTTTGCACACGTTTGCAGGTTAGTTATGCAGGGTATGGTTCTACTGAATACAAAGTGTATGATTTTAGAACTCCCACCCCAACATATTAAAATACATCATTAAAGCACTAAAAAAAAAAAAAAAGGCAAGCAAACTGTGCCAGGAATTGAGGAAGAGAAGCAAAGTATTATTCTTAATTCAAAACCTCCCCTCCCACTCTGGAATACATAATGACTTTAAGTGAAAACTGTTTTGGAACGGTCACACAAAAACTGACTTCCTGAAATACAGCATTAGTAGAGATTCCAGAGACTGTTGTTGTCACAAGCAATAAAACCAGATGAACTCAAATGCCCTCCTTTCCAGATTTCACTATTGGTGAAGTAACCAAGACAGAAACTAACTCACTAAAATTTACCTTTACAGTATTTTTTTTCCCCCTCTGTAATTAATTTTAACCAAAATTAACACTCAACAAGTTATTAAGAAATACTAAAGCCTGAATATTCACCCTTTGTGCCTTCTCATGCTCCTCCCGTGCCTTCTTCACTCTTTCCATTCTTTCCTTGATTTCCTTTTCTTCACGCTTCCGCTCATACTTTCGTCGATGTTCTGCAATTTTCTGAGCCTGTCACAATGAAAGACCAGGAGTTCCTATACATTTCTAGCATCTCACACAACGTATTTCAGTACAAAATACACGTAAGCATAACCAATTCATTCTACCAGTTCTTAAAACTAAGATCTGATTTCGCATCCTAAAAGCCTCTTTGTTTCAGGAGCCATTTGCTACTTCTTTCCCATGGCAGTCAGTCATTCGTGTCTACTCAACCCTGACTGAATTCACCAGAACATGCAGTCTAACATATGTTTTTGCAGTAGTTTTAGGACTTGAATCATCATTAGAATTTGAACATGTTATTATCCCATGTCCCTTTATTATTTTACGCTGAAATGTTGATTTCTCTGGGGCTAAAACGAGCAACTACCCTGGAAAAGGGCACAATAGGAAGCAAAATTCCCACTGCACACACACACACTTTCTAGATAGTGTTATCGCTGTTTCAGATACCTCTACAGCATGTACAGACCGACACAAGCAGACTAAAAAATTCCTCAACCAAACCAAGAAAGGGCTGGTGGGGAGGAAGTTTGCTTCTTTTTACTAACTTTTTCCTCAAATGTATTAAATCTATAGTCCCAGTGAGGGAAGAATTTGCAATGAACTTCCCAAGGTTCCTCACTCAGGGCTCCTTGTAACAATGGAATTAAGGGCAGCACTGGTTTCCTCAAAACAGAAGGTATCCTTATAAATAATTGCAAAAATGTCTCATGAGTTCAGAAATAGCGTATGATGGTTACTCTGTAACATTCCTGTAACTAAAAAGCACATACCAAAATCCGGGTGCAAGAACAAAGATACTACTTAGACAATAGATACTCTTGTATTCTTTTAGAGAAATACTCTTATTCTTTAAAGGAAAAAATTGCTCTTTAAGTAGCAGAAACTTGATACAACTTATTTTAGTTAGGATATACTCGTTCCATACTACATAATTCCCGAAGTACATCTGCAAGAGAAAGCACACTGGAAGCAGCAGGAATGATAGGGAGTGAATGAAGTACCTGCTATCAGATCCTGACATCATTGACATTTGATCATCATTGACATCTTAATGAGCCTTTGCTCATTAAGAGCAAAGAGAGAGGTAAGTGTTGTTTTCTTTTTAATAAAACATAAATAGATTCCAAATTTTAGATTTTTGTTATTTCTAAATATTTCTCAAAATGAACTAAATATTTTTAGAATTTGACTTAGACTTTTAGCTGAAAGTGCTACAACGTAAAAAATTCTAGGAAAGCTTGAAGTGAATAAATTAGATGAATGCATAATTTTCACTTACTAAAGATTTTAAAAATCACCCATGAAAAGATCCTATGTTTTTCCTAGAGCTACATACACAAATTCCCATGCAGTTAGCAACTACACATCAATGTATCACACGTACTCACTCTGCTGTTTCTGTGCTCAGGCAGATTAACTGGGAAAGGCTCCCCCCCAGCCAAGCATTAAGTATTACTTGTTATGAAAACCAGTTGAGACCTAAGACCTAATTACATTAACCACAGATCAACAGTCTCCAAAACAGAAGACTAGTAGGTTGTAAAATGGTTTCCATTGTCATTTTGCTGGAGACAGCAAAGACACGGTAGAAAAAGCTTTCAGCTTTTCCTTAGACACAGGAATGTTTATACATCGGGGGGTTTAAGCTTGACTGGCTGCCAGATGCTCACTAAGCCACTCTCTCACTGCCCTTCCTCAACAGGATAGGAAGAGAAAATAAGCTGGAGAAGCTCTTGGCTTGAGATAAAGACATCACTCGCCCACTATCATCAGGGGCAAAACAGACTCAACCTAGGGAGGATTCATTAAAGCCACCTTCTTCCCAAAGCTCAGCTTTACTGCTTCATTCCCCCCTCTTCAGCCCTGAAGAGCACAGTGGGATGGGGGCCATCATCAGTTCCTAACACTGTATTTCTGCCACTCCTCCCTTTTCACATCTTTTTCCTGCCCCAGCATATCTGTCCCACAGGATACAGTCCTTCACAAACTGCTGCAGTGTGGTTATCCCCATCAGGTACAGTGCTTAAACAACATACTGATCCCCCCATGGGTCCCCCGTGAGCTGCAGCTCCTGCCACAAAACCAGCTTCGGTGCAGGCTTCTCTACACAGGCTGAAGTTTCTACCAGGAATCTGCTCCAGGGGACTCTCCATGAGCTGCAGCTTTCTTCAGGGCAGATTCACTTCCTCTGTCATGGGATCCTCCATGGGCTGCAGGGTGGATCTGCCCCACTGTGGAACTCCATGGGCTCAAGAAGGACAAACTGCTTAACCATGACCTTCTCCATTGGTTGCAGGGGAATCTCTGCTCTCACACCTCTCACTTCTTTCTTCACTGATCTTGATGTCTCTGAGGGGTTGCTTCTCCCATATTTTTCTTCTTTACTGCCCTCCCTCTCACAGCTGTTACACTATATTTTTTAACCCTTTCTTAAATATCTTATCACAGCAGCACCACTGGCATCACTGACTCTCAGCTTTGGCACCAGCTGGCATTGGCTCCCTCTGACACAGGGGCAGCGTCAGGTCTCTCCTTACAAGAGGCCAGACCTGCAATCTCCACCTTCCCCCAAACTTCCTATGTAAATCCAACACAATCCAAAAGCTGCCATCTGTGGTGTCTCAATCACTTCAAAGGAACACACAAAAACACGGAAAAAGAAATCCTGCTATCAATACTGTTACAGAAGTTTCTCCTTAGAAGATTGCTGGGGTCAGCCAGGAGAGAACAGCTGAAAATCAGCTGTGCAGAGCTGAGGCTGCCCTCATGGGGCTGAATAATGAAAGTACAAACCACAGCAAAATGCTTCCTTTGGAAAATGTGCTTAAGGTCAAAGCTTTGATCAACTCAGAAATATCGTGGGAAAAAATAAATTACCATCTGTCTCTGGCTTTTCAGAAGGTTTTTAGTCTAGATGCTAAAATACCTGGCAAACTTCAACTGCTTCAGATTCTTCTGTTAAAATTTTAAAAAGGAATGTCTTTCATATTTCTGTTACATGCCCAGTCCCATACATTCAATTTCTCTATACACAGTCATAAACAGTTGTTTCTAAAGACAGTAAAGAAGTGTTTATAAACTCAGTCTGAAGTGTTGGAAGACATATGAATAGATTTCTTCCAGACAATGCCTGTTGAAGAATATGAAGGGAGCTGTGTCACTCAGACAAATCCAGGAAAGACCTCCAAAATTCCTCCCCACTTACTCTTGGCTGCACCTCCTTCAGCATGGCACTTGCTTCTTCATCATAATCCAATTTACAAGCTAATGCAAGATCATGAGCAGCCTCCTCCCAGTGACCAAGAAGTCTGGAAGTTAGAAGACACCAACAGTCAGAAGAGAAAACTGAACACTTGCAGCTCTTCAAAACATTTAATCATGCATCACTCAGAAATTTTACCTAGAGCTACAAGGACTTACAGAAGTTTAAGAATTATGGTGATTCCTCTAAGCTGCACACTACAATACTGTTAGAGGACACTTGGACATTTGCTTGCTTGTTTCATATCATTACAATAACTTTTGCTTGAAGAAACATTGAGTAAAATACTCTCAGTGAGATTATGTCACTGTCTGCTATAAAGAATGAAACAGGAAGAAGGGTACTGTCGCTTGTTTATGTACATGATGCACTACTACCACCTCAGGCTTAAGAAGACCCTCTTACTCAGCACTCAAACCTCAGGACTGGATGCACCACATTTTAATTAAAGTGGTCATTAAAGTGGTCATGTAAGCCTCTGTGCACACTTCTTTACTATTAATTTATATGGACTCTTGACAATTAAAAATTAAAGCAAATGGTGGTATTACTAAATGGTGAAAGCACTTTTGCTCACAGACAGAGGTATTAATTCAAACTATTATCCAGTCTTCCCACTCTCAAGCTTCACACTGTAAATTAAAACAGCAGACACTAACAAACTATTCTCTAAACATTAAGATTTTTTTTCAGTTATATTAGCATTTACTTTTTCTATTTTTATATAAGCCATAAGAATTGTCACCTTTTTTCTTGATTTATTGCTATTAAAAAAAAAAAAAAAAAAAGTTGAACTATAGTTAGTGGCACGCCTAACACCATTTTAAATAATTACATTGTTTGCTTAATAAAATTTCTCGATTGCAACAAATGATTCCCTAATAACCAGGCATTTCAATTTACTCTGTAGAAGAGCCCTGGGTCTAAGGGAAAAAGACAGCAGAGAAATGTTCAAGAATTATAGGCCAGTAAAAACATCCCAACAAACTAAGTGAAAACAAAAGACCCCCAAACAAATAAAGCAAGCAGTCATAGATCTCACTATCTTTACCAAATAATTAGAAAATGTTATTCAAAAAAGCAGTAAGCCATTAGAAGATGAGAGAGAGAGGGTGAGTGGAGGGGAAACAGTAACAGGAGAACTACTCATAAATTGCCATCAATAAATCACCATCATCCTTTGTATTCTCTAAGCCATGTACTCAGCACAATGGTTTCTTGGCTCACAGCTACTGCTCTCGGGTACAAGACAAACAGTTCAGAGGCACAGAGAAGGAGAGAATGTGTGAACAAAACTATTCCCCCCAAGTAAAGACAATATCAAGTACAGGCTGATTGCAGTTCATTACCTATGTGCCTTCCCCCTCCATTTATAGGTCTGTGCTGAGTCAGGATTAATCTTAATGGCTCTGTCACAATCTCTAATGGCAGCATTTGGCTTCTGTAGTTTCACAAAAACACTGTGGGAACAAGAACATTTATCATACATATTGAAATACCAAGTTACTAACTTAAGATGGAAATTATTCTGGATGACTAAAAGGCAAGCTAGTGAGATAATGCAGTTGAAGAGCTGAGTTCAAAGATTTCATAGTAGCATAGATAACAAAGTTGCTAAAATTTAGTCTCACCCTCCCAGCACTGTAGGTGACTCATGAGCAAGAACTGAAAACATTCATTGTTCAGACTCAAGCCTTGCCAGCAAGAATAACTTCAGTGCAGACAAGAAGATGCATAAATTCAGTCCCATGGTGCTTGGGGTCTGTGGCAAATGGCAACTAGCAATTTTAACAAAACAACAATAATATTCTGCATACCATATTGCACAGTCTTTAACACAGTGACACAAAGAAAGCATGAGGAGTTACACAGACTACAAGTATCAACAGCTAGAGTCATGAGGAAAAGGATATGAGTCATCAAAATCAAAAGCAGCGAAACAAACACAAACTCAGCAAGAAGCCCAAATCCCTTGTCAGTTAAATGTAAAAACTGAAAATTTTACATCACACAAGCATATCAGACTAACTAGTAGAGTGGTACTTTAGGAGGTTCAAGTAACTAAAATTAAAAATCTCTTAAAGAAACACTGAAAAACATTCCTGAATTGACAAAAGTATTCAATATTCTATGCCAGAACTTCTACATCTACATCTAATTCTACATCTTCCTTTTACATGTATTTGAAAACAGTTTGTCAACAATTCCTGTAAGTAACTTTATTATTAAGGCTTCTTATAAAGCAAATACAAAGTCACAAATTGTCTTCTATGAACAAAAAGGTGGACAGGGTGTCAGGGAAGTGTCCCAAAGCTACTCCTCATCAGTAAGAGTCATTGCAATGCTGCTGTCTTCACAAAGCCCCTAGTCTCTCAAACATACATACCCCCCAGAACCCAGTGCGGGATTACTTCTAGCACTTGATCAGCATGGCAAGCTTTATATTATTCTAATATATTATTAATTTCTTTCTACAACACACCAAATTGAGGGAACTTTTAAACTTCACCTAACATTCTTATTTTTTATTGCTACACCCAGTCCTGAGAAAATAGGACACTAAGAGATTTTAAACATACTGCTATGATGGCAACAGCAAAGTGTATTAAGGTACACAAGCGGTGTTACATGCAAAAACTTTGATATAGAAAGGGAAAAAAAAGCAAGACAAGTACCAGTCAAGATGTATTACAATGGAACAGTATTTTGTATCACACATAAAGGACACTAATTAATCTTATGAAAGTTTATGTTATCTTTGAATAAAATTGCTATGGGAAAGATCCACTAAATTATTGTATCATCCATGATTGATTGTCCTTTGTGTAAGAACAGAAAAAAAAAATTGCTTCTGCAACCCATACTTGTCAAGCCTTCCTGAAGAATCAGGAAGATAAAAGATGTTTGTGTGGTATGAATTTAGAAAGTTCCCAATGCATCATCTGCAGTCTCTGGTAGATGTACGGAGCAGTAAGGTGGGTAGAGAATGGGCTGAGATACAGACATGTCCTCCTCAAACATACAACTGTTGAACAGAACCTGGTCTACTAACAAATTCATTTAGCAGGTACAACAGGGAGAGAATTCACAGGATTCTTAACTAAGTTTGCATCTAAACAGAGTATCATTTCACTCATCATCTTAATCCCACAATACACTTCAGATTTTACAATTGTTTGTAACCCAGCACTACTCTACCTCAACATACCAAAACCACTATTGTTGAGGAATACTTTCAGTGCAGGAATACTCCATGTGTAGCTGCAGTGTCAGCTGAAGACTGGACGCCAGGTGGTGAGAGCCCCAGGCAAGAACTGGCATCAACCTTTGCACAGGGACCTGTGGCCCAGCCAGGTGACTGCACACTCAGACAAAGCAGAAACCCATGACCTCAGACTTTCACATGCACAGACTGTGAAGGTATAAAAGCCCAGTGCTTTCTTTGTTTAGAATCCCTCCTCAGAAGCATCAGCTTGAGCTGTTGATTTGTTATTGCACCATGATTAAATTATTTTAAGGATCCAGATGTCTGAGAGTCTGCTGTGGGAAATCCAGGGTTAAGACTGTAAGGAAACCTGATCTGACTGTGTGAGTGTTGGGGGTGTAGCTGCAAGGGTGCTTCAGTCCCAACTTAGGGAGTGCGAGCATGACTGTCAGGGTGCCTGCCTCCTGGAAAGTGTCTTTAATGTTACCATTTTGGAACACCATCCTGTTATTTATTCTTTTACCAAGATTCTTTATATGGCTGCTCCAGCAAATCTGGTGAGTCAAACAGAAGAGAAATGAACACTTCCCTTTCCCTCCTGTGGTTGAAGTTTACACAGATCCTCAAGTTGCCTTATATTTAGGCTCCTTAAGGAAAATAACAGAAAAGATAGAAACATAAAAACATAAATCACTAGGTTATGACTCACCTTGCCCTCTTGGCATACAAGATGGCCAAACAAGGATTCAGCTTGATAGCATCTGTGAACAAGTCAACAGCCTTCTGAAGGTCCCCTAAATACAAGTATCAGTGAAGTTTCAATGATTATGTAATGAAATGACATCTGAATTCCCAAACCTGCCTTACACAGTGTTACGTGCCTAGACACTTCTTAGATAGAAGATTATCAACAAAGAAAAATCACCTTCTCCATCTTGCTATGTTACTGAAGTACAAACTTAGAAATTAATGCTCGAGAAGATATTTTCACAGTTAAATTTGTATATTTAACTTTGAATGCAATCAAATAGAATGTCACATCTTTACTATACACCTTTTCACTGCATTAAGTCAAACCACTAGAGACAATAATCATAATATGGAGGGAATTACTATAACGATTAATTTGTAATTAAAATGCTGTAGTACCTCATTGCCCCTCCCACCTTTCCCTAAACTATGGCTACATTGGAAAAACAGTACTTGAAGAAGCTTTCAAGTTCTAGATAGTTTTGGGTATTCAACAACAAGTATGTTTCCTCCTCCTCAAAAGGATTCAAAATGGTCCAAGATATTCACCTTCTTTTTTGTAAGAGGAGAACCAAAACAAATGTCCTTGAATAAGTACTAAAATGCAATTTATCACCTTCACTGAGAGCATTTATCGCTTCAATCTTCTTTTCATTAGCTTGATCCGCCATCTCTTCAGTTACCTAACGAAAAAAAAAAAGAAAAACACACACAAAACCTCAAAAGCTGTAGAATACAGGCCAGAATTATCACACTAAGACCTCGCCAAAGGAGAAAGTGCTTCAATTGTCCAATTCTGGAATCTCAATTTTAATTTGCATTGAAATCATAGTTCAAAAAACCCACAAAACCTTTGCTTTCAGCTTGAAGACGTTAGTCAACATTATTTTTAGCTATAAAATGCTTGAAAGCTAAGTTGAATAATGGGAGAATTCTACATATCTAGTTTGCATGGGTGTTTTGATAAACTTCTTCAGCATTTTCTGACCTGATCATCCATAGAACTTTTTGATTGACTCTAACCTTGAAAAAGAAAATAATGTGATTTTTAAGCCAGTAAGTTTTCTGTTTAGAAGAAAAAGAGGCAAAACAACAGCTGGTTACACAGATAATAGAGTATTCATCCTCCCTCAGCTGCTATCCTTGATTACACTCAAACCTCCTATCTTTCCTACTGCCACACTGAAAACTTGCTTACCTCCACATTTTCATCTCCCATTTCTTGAGGGTCATCATTGTCCGGTTCAATCACTCCCTCATTATCAATTTCTGAGGGAAAAACCAAAAGCACAACTAAGCTCCATCTACAAAGACACGATTTTCAGAATAATTTTCAGATTGGCAAAATGCAATCAAGTCACTATTTTCCCCACCTAAGTCGCTCTCTTCACTTTCTGGTTCAGGTGATTTAACCGGCTCCTCTGGGCGTTCCTCTGCCTTGCCCTGAGAGACACACATATTTGTAAGCACACATTATTTCTGACCATTGCTCTATTTCCAATCCCATAAAATAAAAACTTATTAGAAAAACCAAATTGCAGTACAGCTGAACTATTTTATTTTTAAGATACTAATCACTTTTTCACTCCTCTCAGATTAAGCCTATAATGTATGTAATTATTTCAGAGCCCCAATCTAGACTCATGAACTTCTATTATTGGTAAAGCTGGTCTTTCAAGTTTTGTAATTCAATAACCAAAACCAAATAATCCAAATAATATCCAATTCAGATCCAGTATTGCAGTGATTACTAACCAACTCTTCCAATCTTCCTGCCTTCCCTTACACATTCTCTGAATCAAAAATTCTCTCCATTTAATACCATTAAGCTAATGTCCTTTATCAGGGAACTGCTAAGCTGATGACAGTGATTTAAATATTGTTTTCATTTGCCAAGGTCTGAGATGGTTGCCACTTCTACATAGAAGATTTTTCCAAAAATTTCAAATGTTTTATCGACTTCTAACTAAATTTCATCTGAATCCCATAACTTAGCACAACCTATTATCAGACACAAGCTGCTTGTCTTTATACTTGCCTTGTCACAGACTATACTCAGTACATACACACAATCCCTTTATATTGCTCTAAGTGGCCAGGAATTCCAGCATCTGCTGTCTTGTTAAAAAAAATTAAAAATATATTTTTTTCCAAAGTATTTCAAACTTGAAAAAATCCTGATATAAACATCTACAAGGCAAATTTATTTTCTCCTTTAAAATAAATCAACAAAAGCCATGTTCCACAATACTGCCTTAAAATTTTCATAGTTCCACTGATCACTTCATTAGTTATCATGCTCGTTAATACTTTTTCTCATGAAAAGATTATACTATAACCCACTAATGACTAGAGAAATGGTTTCTAAACAGACAAGAGAAAACAAACAAAAAAAAAAAGAAATCAAGACTCTGTATGGCATTTGCATTGCAGAGAACATCAGGCATTCAGGATTAGAGAAATGGAGCATGATAACACTTGAAATGAACTAGGAAGCCATCTGTAACAAGTCATCTAAACCACACAATGGGCAGGGTTCAGACTGAACTCTCACATTCATTCCCCCAACTGAGTGAAAACTGACAGTAATTTTCCCCTTCTGCTTCTCAGTAATTTTGCCAGCATCAATTTTCAGCGACAAATTCTTCATATCTCACCTTACTTGTCTCCTCCGTGGAAGCATTGGCTGGAGCAGGAGGTATTGTGCCTCCCATACTTTTCAGCAAAACAGATAAAAGACAAAACAAAACAGTAAGATTATCAAAATAGTGGCATGTATTTTATTGATTCAAATCCTGGTAATCTCAGCTTTTGTTGTAACACAAAACATGATGATCCATTTCACTGTCCAAGCAGCCAATAGAGTACATATCCCCCACACTTTTCTCAGTGTAGTGCAATACACGCTGTTGTACAACTCCTTTGAGACTAGTATTCACTTGCATCACCCTTCACCCACCCACCCTTTCTCACAAGGAAAAGCTGCCTCTTGGCTCAAATGGATTTTCTCCTTTAAATGTAACTTATGTTTGAATCAAAAGTAGATATTATAATTTTAATAATATCCAGAGTATCCATAATTTTTTTTTTTTAACAGAGGTCAAACAATTAAAGAAAACAGCTTAAAATACCTATGCAATTAAAAAAAACCCTGCTGCCTAGAAAAAATATAATTTCTCTTACATATTGCAATATTTCTGCCTCTCTTTCACCACAGTTAAGGAGCAATCTTGGTGCAGACAGCATTCTGTCAATATAGAATAAACTTCCACATGCTATCGACTTTGATTAGCAGCCAGGAATAAGTAGATGCTGAATTCTCCAGCTGTTAGATAGAACACCTAATCATATCTATGACAGCATGCCACAAGGAACACCATTCTGAGGCATCCCCTGCCCCACATTTCCACCTACCAATAGTTTTCAAGAAAAATGTTTCCATGAACTCAACAACCAACTCCTTGGAGCCCCACACAACTGGTTAGATGGGATACAAGGGAGAGGAGAAGGAGGTGAGTAAACAGGGCTGGGCAGGAGGAATTGGAAGTATGTAGGACTATATGCTTTCAGGAATTAGTGCCACAAAAACCTGTACCCCGTTATAACTTCTTAAGTGAAGCTACAGCAGGTAATTCTCCCCTCTTTCCTCCCTCCTGTCATCAGCACCTCAGAGTCAGGCCTCAAACTGGCTGAAAACAAACCTGAATGAGGCAGAATAGGACAGGGATAGGGATGAATTGGGGGAGAAAAGGTAGAAGGAGTTGGAGAAGGAATTGACAGGATTGACAGGTCCTGGCACAAGGCCCTGCAGTGAAAGGCAAGCAAACAGCACTAAAGTGCTCCTCATTTACAAGGAAAAACTGCCAAAAAAACCCCAAAAACAACCAATCATCCAACCAACAAAATCCCATCAAGTTACAAACACCAGCATGTTCTGAAGCTATTGCAACAATCTCTGCGTCCCTGGGATGCTGACATTACTTAATCGAATTTATACTGCAAGGACTAAACAACTGCAGTCTCAGAAATCATTATCCAGCCAGGCAGAAAACACGGAACATGGACTAACTGTTCCTCCTAAATTTTTGCCCTCGTAGGCTGACAATAGAACACATAACTCTATTAAGTCTCTAAAAACCATGGAGAGGACTACAGGGACCATCTAGGGAAGCCTTGGAACTTTTTTTCTGCATAAAGAAAACTACAAATTACAAATCATTTTAACAGAGCTAATAGCCATGGTATTAGCTGATTTGAAGTCTGAAACCTTAAATCACTTCATGACTGAAACAACTGAGTCAATCTCCTCTGTTCTCTTCACATCCCTCCAAAAACTATGAAAGTTTAGTTCAGTTTGAGAAATGTTTACTAACATACATGCATGTTTTGTAACATGTTATTTCATGAACTACTAAGGCTAAACAGTTTCACTCACAGTAAATGAAAATAGTCTTGCTATTCTGGTAATATCTATTTAAACTACAGTTGTAATCCCTGAATAACTCAAAAGGAAGTTACTCTAAAATCTCTTAGCCCAGTATTTGATAACAATGTTGGAATACACAGCAGAAATATATTCAACATTTGCAATGTATTAAACCTCAGCAGTATATGGAAAGACAAGACACTTATGTAGAGAAAGGCAGGTACTGAGCTGTAGAAAAAGCACAAACACACACAAGACACACAAAGAGTTTAGTGTGCAATGCCAGTAACAACTGGGAGTTGTCAGGACTCCATTGCAACAGTGACTGCCCATTTCCACCCATCAGGACCATGAAAAGTGTCACATTTATGACTTGTTGGAAAACTGCAAATGTGATTTCTGTAACCACTTTTATTACTGACAGCAAAATTATCTTTAGAGAGCAATTGGATTACCATGAATTCAAAAGGGTAAAAACCTATTTGAACAAAACAACAAAAAAGGCAAAAAGCCTTATTCATCAATTAGGGATTCTGTAGTTTATTTTTATGGACTGCTATTGTTTCTTTGTTCATTTGCAGGGTTTTGCAACATGTTTCCTTTCATGACTCATTTCCCAATAATTCAAATAAAACATTTGTATTTTTATGCAATTATGAAAAAATGGGCTTGATAAAAGGAATGTCAAAACACTTTCCAAACACACTCACGCACTACCCAATGCTTTCTCTACAAAGAGCATTGATATAGAAATTAAATACAGCAGCTAGGCAGAATAAGGGCTGGAAAACAACAAGTGAAGGAAAACAGGTAAGACTCAAGGTTACTGATAAAAAATTAACAGCTAATAAGAAATAAAGCATCCCCATTCTGGCTTCATGAGTAGTTAGCAAAATTTAAATTAGTATCACTAGGTTTAAGGAAAAAATAAATCAAAGCAATTAGCAGAACTTTAGTAAAAAAAATTAATTATGGATTTTAGTATAATTTAGTCATTATTCTAATCACTCACAACACTACCTAGGTAAACAAACCTATGTCTTTCAGATTAAGACAGGTAAGCCAGACAGAGATATAAGAATTACTGAGTTTATTCCCACCTGAAGGCAGGCCATGCAGTTTGAAGCAGTTTCAGAAGAATGATCAGGCCCTATAATGCACTTAACAGTTCTACTGCACACAACACTCCTATGTAAAGGCAGAGGCAACCCCACCAGAATTCCAGACAGTTTTGCATGGTAAGTAATTTGGGTACCACAACCACCATCCAAGTGTATTTCTTAAGCAAATATTTAACTTAAATATGTTAAGAAAACCAGAAAACTTGAGAGAGCTGGAAGAGGTTCTACTCTGAACCTCTGAATTTTTAAACTTTGGAGATAAAAACATTCAGTGAAGATTTTACACGTAAAAAACATTCCATGGCTCTTAATGTAATTACTGTATTTATAAGACAAGCACCAAATACAAATTTTAAATATTAATCTGGAAATTAAAGCCCTTCCCATTAACATGGAGAAAGTCAGATAGTCCTCTTTCCATTCCCTAACACTTTCTTAGGCAAGAAGTGAGAGTTCTTCCCCTCCCTTTTAAAGTAGCCTGTCCACACCTTCAGATTTACGCAACAGAAGTACCAGAAGAAGCCTAGGGTAAGGCACCAAAGTATTTTATGCAATACCAAAAGGAATAAAGACCTGCAGTAGGATGAGACAGACATCAATCTCCTTCCTAGGCAGAAGTATATCTACTGTCAGTACTACAAAGGCAAGTTCAGTTAAATACCAGTGGTTTTACAACCACAGTATTATTCAGATGCATAAAAAATTTAAATATCACTGAAAAAGACCACGAATAAACACTTCATTGTAGCCATTTTCATTATAGGACACATTGTGAAATGTCAGTGTTTACTTCTCTCTATATATGTAGGTATATATATATCTATACATACAAAATCCTGCTATTTAACAAAAATTTTCTAAAACAAATCCCAGTTTGTCACTAGATAAAAATCTTTTAAATTCTCTTTGCTTAACATGGCTTAACATGTGCACCTGAAAGTATGTCCCTCACTTCTCAAGAGTTCTTTAGCACAGCAGCCATAAAAGCCAAGCAGAGGCACCATAGCTGAACCCAGGAGTTCTGTGGGGTTCTCAGCCAGCAGCAAAGAATCCCAACCCTTCCAGCCTCGTGCTTCAGAGCTCTCAGGGTGGAACCCAAAGAAAATTTTTATTTGGGAAGCACCGGTTCCGGCAGGCCCCGCTCACACAGAGCATGTGCAGCGTAAACAGCAGGTACCTAAACGGCTCACAGGGAGCGGAGAATTCGACTACCTTTGAGACATTTACCTTCAAAGAGCAAACCACGTTTCGGACAGGAACTGTAGCTGCCAGGTATTTTGTGCTTTTGGGTACCAGGATGTAAGTCAACGTCACTCACCTCCCCACAAACTCGGCTCCTTTTTAAGACAGGCTAGCCAACTCTGCTGCGTAATGCGAGAATTAGCTCGGTAAGTATTACTCTGGGGCTTCCCAGGCTGGAAAGCTGAGCCATTGAGATGGCCGGGGGGCAGGCTTTTTGCAGTGGGAATAGCCGGAGTTAACGAAACAAAACAAAAAACGAACAGGTCTTTTTAAGGCGCCAGGAGCAATCCCAGCGGGAAGGGGAGGAGAGGGCGGGAAGGCCGCAGCGCGGGCCGGACCCGCGGGGGCGACACTGCGCGCCCCCCGCCCCGAGCACGCGGCGCGCCCGCGCGCCGGCACGCGCTCAGCGGACACACCCCCCTCCCCTCACCGCGTCCCGCGCCACAACACCCCTCCCCCCTCGCCCCTCGCGGCCGCCTCCTCCCGCGGCCCGGGACCGACCTCTCCACCCACTCGCGGAGGAAGGCGAGCTCCGGGGTGTGCAGCAGGCCAGGGTTCTGCTTGCACAGCCGGACGAAGGCCCGCAGTTCACTCAGCTTGCGCGAGTCCATGGCGGCACGGCGGCGGCCCAAGCGCGCTGGTTCCCCCGCCCACCCGCCGCGGAACCTTCCAGCCCGCCCCGCCCGCCGGAGCCCCCGCCCACAACTGGTCTGGTGCCGCCCACCACCACTGACTCCGCCCATGCCCAATACTGTCCCTCCCGCCCATAAACTCCATGAATGCGCCCACAAAGGTCACGCGGCGCCGTGGAACCTTCCAGCCCGCCCCGCCCATTCCATTCCGAGGCCCCGACCCCGTCCCCAGTCATGGCTGCGGGCCTCCGCGGCGTGGTAGGGGGAACGTTGTGGAAGCGGCAGCCGTGGCCGGGCAGCTGCGCTCCGGCCCTGTTGCTGTTGCCGCCAGCCCCGCCGTGGCGCGGGCTCCCCTCGCGGGCGGGGCAGGCGGCCTCGGGGCGCTCCTCAGCCGGCGCGGCGCCGTTCATTGGCGGCGGGCCGCGCGCGGGGATTGTGTCAGCGCGCGGCGCCGCGGCGCAGGGAGGCCCCGCCATGCGCCGTGCGGCCCGGCCATGTCGCGTCTCCCGCAGCAGGGGCTTGTCCTGGCGGCCCGGGGCTGGCGCGGCGCCGCAGGTCAGACACCTCTCCTCCCCCACACTCTTAACACCGCCCGCGGCTCCGCTAGCGACACCCGGCTATCGCAGCTTACAGCCCCGCTTTCGCTTCTCGGGTCGAGGGAAAGCGGCTCTCCCCAGCGGCGCAGTGGCAGCCCCGGTCGGAGCTCAATCTTAGGGAAGAATAGGCAGGAATTTGAGTAATAAAGCAACGGTAGAAAGCTGCTCGCTGACTTCAAGGTGTTGCTTTATTTAATGCCCGCTGTGTCCATCTCCTTGCGAGCTGTCCTGTTTGTCTGCTGTGTACGTGGAGAATAACAGTAGAAACACCCATTATAAACTAGACTGCACAAAAAATCTGCAGTTACATTTCACCGCCCGGGTCTCCAGTCAAGCATCACATAGTGAACTCTTCATCTTAACTATTGGTTGTCATGCATAAATGATCTTCAGTTAGAGGCTAATCATACTGACTCCCACAGCAAATCCATGGTCTGTATGTTTTGCTGTAAGCCTCGGCATCTCAGCTACCTAAAAGGCAGATGTTTTCTTGTGTTATCCTTGCTTATGCTGGTGAAGAGTTACAAGTATTTTTTCTAAGAATGGCAGCACAAATTGTTTTTCTAGTAGGCACATGGTAAGTAACAAAGGGCAACCACTTTCCAAAACGTCAAATAGATGTTTACCTTCTGACTGCCCTCTCCTTCCTACAGGTCTGGATGATTTCTATTCAGGCACAAGCACTTCTTCAGCTGCAAAAAGCTGCGACTGAGAATTCTAAAGTTTCTGACAATTCATTTTTAATTTTAGATTTTATCGTGCCCATTCCCAGCTCACAAATGCATACTTGTAGTTGTCTTTAAAACTTACCTTCTTTGGCTGTGTGTGGTTTTGAAAGTGGGATTCATAATGGTTCAGTTTGGCCAATGCTGCTGCCAGGGAAGGTCAATACACAAACAGGGACTCTCAGGTATCCTCCAGACAGGAAAAGAAAATCACATTCCTGTGTAAACCTCTCTTATTTGATGGTTTCTTTCCAGCATTATTAGTAAAAAACAGAACTGGAAAAGCCTTGAAAACTGTATAATTGTTCCAGATGAGAGAAATTTTTTGAAGACATAGTCGAGAAGAGACAATATACAAGTGTCGTGCTTGGAGTCCTGTGGTGTTTGAGGGAATCAAGGGAGGGAGAGTGCTGAGTGCATCATGAACACCATTTGTATGAATTGGGATGTGCAAACCAACAGAGCTTCCTGGGTTTTGTAGCTGGATTGTCAGGTTTAGCATATATTTGTTTCTTTCTATCTGTTCCATGAATATTTGATTGTCAGTTGAGTTGTGTGCACATTGTTTCGTAAACTATTGTGATGCATAGCAAATGGAGAAGTTAAGGAGGGATATTTATGTCATGTAAGTGAAGGAATGCTGATGACTAGACCACAGTTCTCCAGTTTCCTAACTGGAAAGTTTTTTTTTACCGTGACATGGTGCATTTCTTTTCCTCTAGTTTGCAAGTCATGTGCTCTCCGAAGATTTTCCATCCAACCTGCTCAGCAGAAGAAGATTCCAAACCGGTATTTGGGCCAACCCAGCCCCTTCACACACCCACATCTGCTCAAACCAGGTGAGGTTTGTGCCCTGCGTGAGCCAGTCACTGATATTTTCTTGTCTCCATTTTTCTGAGTGTATTGATTTGCTGCATCGTAGAGTTGTCTGTGGTTTCAGGTGTTTATGACTACCTTCATTAGCCAGTAATTATATTTAATAGATAATTTCCTTGTATGAGATGATACTGATTCCAAAAATAGGCTTCACATGTGATGTTTTCATAGCTTCTTTCTTTTTTCTCATTATGTACTCAGGGTTGTTTGCTTGGGTGCTGCAGACCTTTTGTGGCATTTTGTAGACTCGATGTCCTGCAAATAAATATGGTTATTATTAAGAGGGAGTCTTTTGTGCAAGCTGAACTGTCAGAATGGTTCATATCCCGTGTCTTGTGAGTCACAAAAGTGCAGTTAAGCAAAGGTGAATGGCGAGGGATACTGGTAGATGAATACCACTTGTCTAAAGAATGTGCCCTGTTCAGAGGAGTATTCAGTATGAGGAGAAGGAGAAAAAGAAGCTTGTGACTGGAAGTTAGACAGTAGTGATAGAAACTGAGGTTGTGCATTTTTTTGAGATTCATGAAAATGAGCATGTAGACGTAAGATCACCACAATTAAATCTAAAAAACAAAAAAATAGCAGCAAAAATATATTCAGGAATATGTATAGGAAAATATTGTTTTCTTCCCTACATGGGTATAAAGAGAGAACAGATGACTATGTGTGTGTATGTGTGCGTGTATATATATATGTATATATGCACACACGCACCTGTATTGAATTGTAGAATAATTCAGGTCAGAAGGAACCTCAGACAGTGCACAGGTTCTCCCTGTGCTCAAAGCTGGCTGACTTCAGCATTAGACCAGGTTGCTTAGGGCACTCATTGACAGCTCACAATAGACGAGGCTGGCTCCTTAAAGTGTAGCTGAAACACTGGAAGTGAATTCTAGCTATCAAAAGTATTTTTCCATTTAAGTAGAGGTGGTTTCCTTGAAATTATATGGCCCTGTTTTATCACAACTACTGTTTCAAAAAGCAAATGCCTTTAATACAAAGAAAATTTCCAGGCCTCAAGTTGGAAGACAGCTGGGATCCCCATATTTCACCCCATTGCAGCTTCTGAAATTCACTGGACTGTGACAGTTAAAAAGCTGACTGGAACACAGTGGAACATAGGAAATTTGCAGTATAACATTGTGGAATTGTGAGGCCAGATTGTATTAAAACAGTTTCTGTGTTCTCTGTCAGTTCTAGAGTCACAAAGTAAAATAAATGTAGTGGGGGTTTTGGGTTTCTTTGCTTCTTTTTAAAGACTATTACATCTAATTGATATTGAGGATATAATCAAAAAGGTGTAAAAAATAATGTGAATAGAACTTTCACCTCCCACTGCACTCATGCAAGAATCTATTTATAGTACAAGTCAAATGTCAATTTTTGTTCTAGAATTGCCACTGTGTAATACATGAAAAAGGAAAAAAAGATTATGAAAGTGGAAAGTTAACAAACGGTATCAAAATTCAACCTATCTTAAGGTAGGGTATTAGCCAAATTACTGGTTAAGGCTCTTATATTAATTTAGATCATAATTAGGGAGTCTCACAATTTAAAAAATACATACTTCAGCTGTTGCTGGTTGTCCTTTGAAGTTCAGTCCTGTTTTGGTGAGTATCTTGATTGCTGTACTTCATGTCTTTTGCGACTGGAGCAGTTGTAAGAGTACCTTCATCTGAAAGATCATTTGCTTAGTTAGTGTTATTAGAATTAGTATTTAACTTCAGAAACTGGAATTGTTAAATATTGACAAAAGCTACATATGCCCTGGAGAAGATCCCTTCCCTTAACCACGAGTCTGATGGCAGCCTGCTGTCCATGGTTTGTTTCTGCCTGGAATCTTGTGACTGGTTAGACTCTGCAACCTCTGTACTTCTGCCTGATGTCCCAGAATCTCTGTCACTCAGTCTGTCCCTCGTGGTTTAGAAATAGTCATTTTATTAGTTGACTTAGTGTGTATTTGAACAAACATTCTAGCTTTATCTGAGGAAATTAATGCTCAACCTCAGGAGGCAATCTTCTGTTCAATGTCCATGCTGTAAAACCCATCAGTTTTTAGCAGTCAAAGTTCAGTTTGCCTTGCCTCTTCTTTTTTTTTTTTTTTTTTTTTTTTTGGTCTAAATCTACCAGGTTTTGTGATTTCTACATTTGCACAGAAATAACACAGCATCCAGTTGGTTAAAACCAATGTTTCTTTGCATGATGGAGATGCAGCCTAAATGAGGATATGCTGTAGGGATGGAAGCTGAAGAGGAGCAAGGGAAAAGCTTGGGAGGGGTTACAAAGAAGGCATGCACATGTAAGACATCAGGGAGTAGACAGGAAATCAGGCATGTGACTAATAAAATACCCTTAGAGCTTTGAATTTCTCCATCTGATTTGTTTTGTATTCACAGGAGAGGTAACCCCAGGATTGTCACAGGTGGAATATGCTCTTCGCCGACACAAACTGATGGTGTTGATCCAGAAGGAAGCCCAAAGTGTGG